AATATTTTCATCCGAGTCGTTCAATCGAATTTCGCTTTATGCAAATTGCGTTTCTCCCAAGAAAGTCGGGTTTTCCTCGTACATCCGGATACACCCGGCTGTCGAATTATCATCCGGTTCCGGCGAGCATGCCGGTGCCGGGTCGATGTCGCGCTGCGAAAAGGAAACGCGTGCACGAGCGAGACGGTAGCCGCGCGACTGTGAACCGGTTTTCGATGCCGCTCAAAAATGCCCCACCGTCGGCGGTAATAATTTTAATCGACACCCAGGCCAGACCGCGCCGGCCTGGCTGTCCCTCTCGCGCGTACACGCTCTCACGCTCGCGCGTGCACTCGCGAGATGTCGAAGATATGCGCGAGGCTCGACCGGGGCCCGATCGGGGGGGGGGGAAGGGTCCGCTTGACAAAGCAGACACACGTTCTGGCCCGGGTGAAAGGAAAACGCGCACGAGTGCGCGCGCCTACCACCTTCGACTTCGGGGGGACAGAGGGAGAAGGATTCCGCGGCGAGCGAGAGCATGCGCGATCGTAGGAGACACGCGGAATTTTCGCGGAATATCGCCGCGAAAGCCGAGCCAAGCGTTAGGTAATAGCGTAATGACGCAAAACGAGTAGTCATCCGAATTGTAACCCCGAGGCAACTGTGGAACGTCAGATTTACGCCTCACTTTTTGCCAAAGCCCGCGGCAGTAATGCCAAAATATCAGATTTCAGGGATTTTTCTTTTCTCATATTGATGTTGTAAGCTAAAAAAAAAAAAGACTATAACTTGAAAACAAATGCTGTAATAAGTCAAGCAGATTCCTTACGTTTTAACATTTGAAATTTGTTACTGACCATAAAGAAAACGGCTTGCCAAGTTTGCTCAGTTATGTAATAACTTTCTTTTGAAATTTAAACAAGATTTATAAGGAAGACGTTGACGTTGATCTTGTTTATAAGTTGAAAAAAGATAACTAGGCGTAATTAAAAGTCGACATTTAAAAGAACTATGAGAAGTATGTGTCATAAGATACATATTTCGCGTATCTCCAATATAATATATATTTATTTGCTGTGAATTATCTTGCGATTCGTGGTAAAATATATCGGAATAAGCGTACCTTAGTCGATAGATACCGACTATCGTGTTAAGGCTCCGAGAAATGGAACGGCAGGAACGCTATACATGTTACAGCCGAGGAAAACCACTCCAGTTCGAGATACCGTTTTATTTCGCGTGCAACATACTCGTACCAGGTTCGCACGATCGGCTGTCCCTCGTACTTATCATTAAATGAGAATTGATTATGGAAAAATATTATCGACGAAATGTCCTTAAATCGAGTGGAGCTAACATTTTTAACATTTTTATTTTTTTAATATTTATATATTCCTAGTGAAAGTCTTTTGTTAGTCGTTCATGTTTAAAAATGATTGAAATCAGCGCAATAAAAAGATTCTGGTAAACGTTAAGCAATTTGAGTAGATAAAAATGTCTTCACACGTCATTGATATTTTTTTCAGTTTTTATAAATCACCGCAAAAATTCTTAAGGCGTATCTATTGTACTCTTAAAAGTAACTAATGGAATATATATTAAGAATGTCGTGGTGATACGTACGTGGCATATACGTTTACGATGATAATGAAATACGGTCAACACACAAACACCCATTTTCATAATACCTTTTGGTATTTGATAACCTTCGATATTTGATATCCCTCTATCTTAAAAGTATCAAATTTATCTGTCCAAAACACTTTTATATCTCATTAAATTTATTATTTGTTTGATGTTATGATATTATCATTTGTTTAATATATTGTTTATTTAATTTTTATAAAATAGCAAAATAAATCGTGTATATAAAAAGACTACTTTGCAGAAAATCCAATCATTTTGTATTTGTAACATTAATATTTAATCCAAATATTAGCAGATCTGACGTTGATGCCTCGAAAAACAAGCGGGACGCAAAGTCGACCGCGTTCAATCGCAAAGATTGCCCGACAATCCGAGGGACCGAGAGACGAGCGAGCGATCACGATTCTACGGCATACTAATTCGTTGCACGCGAATGTTACACTTGGTCAGCGTTTTTCCTCATCGGGCACGACGAAGTCTAACGTAATACACACGGGGAGGGACAAACGCGGGGCGGGCGGCGGGCGCGGCGTGTCGCGTCTTTCACGGTCATTCCGCGGGGCTACCGTTCGACTCGGGGACTCTGTTCGCGACCCGCTTAAAATAGAGCCGCCGTATATTCCGTAGGTCGTCGATCCCTCTTCCGCGTCACCTGCGCCATGCCGCCTGCTGCAGCTTGTGCCGAGGATACGAGGAAGCCGGCACTGCGCGCGTGCATCACGCGCAACCACCGTCGCGCCGCGTCGCGGACGAGACGCCCGCCCGCCCTGCTGCCGATGTCAAGAAACGGCACCGATCGAATGGTCATTGACTAAAGGCTTCGACGGTAAATAACCTTGCCTATGCCCGTTACCATAGACGCATCGCTCGTTTCCACGCAAGAAAGCGGCGTCGTTAGAAAAGGGCAATCGGCAACTTCGGCTACACGAATGCATGTATGTTTATTTTTACAAGTATCGCGAGCTTTGACTTTTAGAAAAAAACTTCTTGCCGAAGTGTTTAAAAATTTGATACCGATCTGAAAATTGTTTTGTTGGGTTGTCATTATAATTGTAGGATGTTTAAATTGATTGCCGAAATATGAAAAAATTTGCAATATTTGTCGTCATGTTCAAGCGTCTTACGTATTTATGTTGATGACCTGAGAAAATTATTTTCAGATCTACATCTCGTCAGATTTTTAAATGCTTTAGCAAAATTTTTCTATGTAACGATACATTTTTGAAATTTTTCTGTAATAGACATTTACATCTGTGTGAAAAAAATATGTTTTATTTAATATTTCTTGGTGTATTTATGACATAATTATAAATTATTACAGCTGATTTGGCAATATATAGATTACGACTAATGTTCCACGAAATGATTTTGATTTACGAAGTCATTATCTGCGTTAATAAATTATACTCTTCAAGTCATCGTTATAATGATAATTACATTCAATTAACAAGCATTGACTTTTGTTTTAGAAAATTCCGAGAATCATTTATCAGACATCTCGTTTTCAGAAAATATTTTCATATTTTTGTCGGAATAGTACATCCTTTGGTAGTACGACACTTGGGCTATCATTTCGCACGTGATAAAGCCCGATCGTGTTATCGTAATGTGGAGGATGATGCTTTGTTCGCGAGCCTGCTATGTCAGACAAAATGGATATCGTACGGTCGAGTAAAATGAGGAGATCCCACGGACAACTTGCACATTTTATAATGAGCTTGCTGCTGATTGCTCGTTGCAAAAAGAGGATAAGGTGCAACGCAGGGCAGAAAATCGGCTTAAATCGGAGAACGTACGTAGGAGTTAGCCAAGCGGATTTCTCTAACTGCATTTACGGTTGTCACTCTCTTGCGTGACTCATTTTTATCCTCTTTTGATATTTTTAATGGCATACAAAACCACGTGAGTCATAAAAATCGTCATACGAAGAGTCGCTGTAACTGCAGATTGTAATTAGCTGCATTTGAATACAATTTATTTTCCTCGAAGTTACGCTCTCTCTTTAGAAAATGACGAAGATGCTGTAGAAAGACATCGTACATACCCCTCATTACCCCGACAAATAAAATCATTTATCTTAACGGAGGCGATTACGACGCTTGTGCTTACCGCTGTATGTTACATTTTCAAGTGTCGCGGTAATTGTCAATGGCATACTTGTCTTTTTTCCCCATTGTGCCGGTATACAACGGTAACAAATAAGCCTGCGACAAAGCAACGTAAAGGGCACAAAGGACGTCAAAGCAGCTCGGTCGTGCGTCTACCTGTCGAAGCAGTGGCGGGTCAGAGAGCCTGGCGCGGCGGCGTTTTTCTCGGTTCTCTCGGCGAGCCGACGCTTCCTCCGACCGTCCTTACGCGATGTCACTGACCCGAGTCCGTATCTCGATGCACAAGAATAAGGAGGAGCAGGAGGAGAAAGAGACGGATGAGTGGATGGAAGGAGGAGGAGGAGAAGAAGGAGGAAGAGAAGGAGAAGGAAAAGAGAAGGAGGAGAGTGAGGGAGGGGAGGAGAAGGGAGGGCGGGCGACGGAGGAATTT